ATAGGGTTCTCTTATGTTCAAACTTTGTATTGAGAAGAAGCTTCAAAAAGTTGTGATTTCTTTTCATTTTTCAGTCCCATGATTTGCAACCATACAGCTTTTTGTGTGCAAGTAAATGTCCTTATGCTCCAGGAATCATTGCATACTTTCCGGTTTAATAGTGTACTTGAAATGACAATGAAGAGGTTTCAGGTTAACAAAAACTATTGAATAAATAAATACATTTCAAGTCTTAAAAAATCATGAGTTTGAGAATTTAACTTAGGTAATTGAGAAGCTATGCTTTGGTGAAAAATGTACAACCCTATTTTGTGTTGGGGGGTGTCGACTGTTGGGCCTGAATTTTCTTCACCATTACGTTTTAGGAATAACATCAATTAGTTCTTCTCAAGGGTTTGAATATGATGCTTTATCCAGCTGGGTAGGTTAGTGTGCCCATCATAATCTGCCTGTGTGGTAGATGATGTTTGCTTTGAGGTGAGGAAAGATTGTTGTGTTACTTTGTGTTCAATAAAGCAAGTCAGAGGGTAGTCCCAGTGAGGTTACACTGTGATCTGTCACTCTTTAGTTTAAGCTCTATTATGTCAGGCTTTCAACGTCTCAGTAAACTTGTAATTTCATTTATGCTTAAGTCCTCACTTAGTGCTCTGCCTTCCACTTTGCAGTCTGATGATTCCATTTCTACGCCTAGGCGAGTTTATCACTGGTGGACCTCATTTTCCTTTGACTGCTGATGCACTAAAAAAGGTCTTCTCTGGTGAGGCTTCAAAGGAAGTCTTGCTCAGCATTTTCCGTGCGGTAAGTGAAGAAGTTTTTGCATCCGAGCATCTCTTCCTTCCTTTCTTTCTTATATCAGTATCATCTTCTCTGGTGAGGCTTCAAAGGAAGTTTTGCCGGGATTCTTTATTCCATTTATACTACATGCTGCATTATAAGTACCAAAAGAAGAAGAAAAGGCATTTTTCTGTTATCCATTCTTTTTGGTTGGATATAACTTTGTCGTTCTTTGAAGTTTTGTAAAGCATCCATTTCCTTCATCCTGAATACTTATCGAAGAGTCACATGTTATGCATGAATATGTGAAAATATGTATTTATGACTTGATGGTGCGCAAAATTTCATATTTTTACTATCTATCTCTGCATGATGGATTATTTTTCTGTCAATTGCTAAAACTGATGCTGTTGTAAGCTCGTCGAAACTTATGCTCCTTTTCTTCTTCTTCACATTCTTTAACTGACTTTTAGCAATGAACTTTGGACAACTTTTTCAGATGTTGGGCTGGCTTGTTGCTGTACCATTCATCATAGCAGGACTTTATATAGTGTTTCTGCCATGTTTTACGATCTTGGTTCGTAAGTTCAGTACCCGTCCTCCAAGCCCGAAGACTCTTCTCCAACCCCTTACAGAAGTCAGTGTTAAAGCCAGGGATGCATGATTGATAATTGTAGTTTAAATGTGTTAAAAAATTTCTGCTAATACTTATTGCTTGTGAATAGGAATTGGGGGAGTCTAGCAGTTCTGTACTTGTATGAAGTTCAATATTTTTCCCAAAGTTCTTCGCTTGCTCATGAACTCGCAGCTTCGCCAGAAGTGATGAGGGGGGGAACTAGGGAAGGCCGACGACTACATGAGGTGGGGAAGCTTTACCCCTGTATCTCTTTATATAGTCAACGGGTTTAACTGAATCCATCATTTTCGACATAGAGCACATACATCAATGTGTGTGAAATAACTTAGTTAAAGAAGTAGTACTAAATTCTTAACCTAACTTCTGAAGTGTAATGGTTTCCATGGTAAGCTCATGTGGGTTGAACTCGTTAAATTTAAATCATCAACTTGCATCTGCCTAGCGGTACGTGCTCTCATCGTCTTTGTCATGTAAACAACTAGCTTTATACTTGATCACAATGTTATGAAACATAAATTAGTAGATGTATTAAATTTAAATCCTATAGGTTGAACTCATTAAATTTAAATCAAATCGTGGATTCACGATTTCTTAGAGGCACATGCTCTCATTGTGTTTGTCATGTAAACAAATCACATTGTTATGAAACATTAATTAGTAGATGTGTGAAATAAGTTGTATTTATTGCCCTCTATTCACATCATGACATTCACACGAAGTTAATACCCAAAGGCAGATGGAACTTGTATGCTATGAGGTCCACTGAATTCAGTATTTTAGATACGTAACATAGATATATAGATATATAGTGAAATTCATATCTCAATAGTATTGCTCTACTTGTATTTACCAGTTAAGCATATGAGTTTAAGTTTTTATGTATTAATAAGTAAAACATATTTATATGGTAATTAGGTCACTCATATGGATTAATTTGGAGTATTGGGTCAAACTAATTAATGTTATGCGAGAATTTAGACAGAATTTTTTAACCTTTTTTGAAATAAAATTTACATGTTTAAACTAAATTAAAAGTACTATAAGTTGTAATAAAGTATTTGATTAAATGATGATTTTTTTTTTTAAAAAAAAAGCATGTCCAAATAATACAAATTGAAACAAAGTAATATGACTTGAATCCAAAAAAAAATCCTATTGCAACATATAGAAGACAACGGAGTGAACCAAACTAATAATTCCAACTAATATTAGAGAAAAACTTGCAAAACTTAACCCTAACTTTCACTAGAGAAAATAGAAAATCACTAATAAGTGCTAATTAACACTAATCAAGATGAATTAGTGTTAATTAACACTAATCAAGATGAGAAAAAAAAATCCTAGTCTATATTGGTGTAATGTCTTCTCTCCTTAGTGAGCAAAATTTGATAGCTAATAAATCCTTTCACCCTATTTTCAACGCCATCAAGTTTCACCAATTCAACGACCCCCTCTCTCTTACATTGTGCACCTGGCACTATAATTGTAGCCCTTCCTACCACTTTTTCACCCGTAGAAGTTCCTGGATCGTTATAGCAATTTTCGCGAACCACCATCAACTTTAATTCCTGATTGACAGGATAATTTTTAAAACATATTTCAATTACCTCATTCCACACTGGTGCCGGTGTCCCTATTCCCCTGCTGGTCTTGAATTCTCTTCCGCTCTCATCGTTCACGATCACACGATAAATATTCGAAGAATATGGGAAAGTATCGTTCACTAGAATAATACTCCAAGCTTTTTTTATTAAAAGCTTCATTACGTACACTTCTTCCCAATTATTGTTATTGTAGTAAAAATTGTTCATGGATCTCCTTGAACGGTTGAAATTTCTTAGTGAAAAATCCATCAGACAAGAGACAAGAAGTGAAACTTGTTTAGGTTTTTAGTTGTATATATAGTATTGACTCTTAAATAGAAGGCGTAATGTATAAATCGTACCCTTTAGTTTGGCCTTAACTGGTATTTATGTTCTTTAACTTTGGGTGTACGCAAGTAGATACTTAAACTTATATAAAATTGAACAAATAGACATATTCGTCATACGTGGAGTCCTACATGGCAGTTTTGTGTCCTACGTGGCGTCCTGTCAAGTACGACGCGTGTACATACAAAGTTGGAGGGCGTAATATGTCAGATAAAGTCAAGCTAAAAAGCATATTCATGTATTATGCCTATTTTTTCTAGTTTTAGTCCAACTACAAATCAATTAAGGCAATCTAGCATTAAAAATAAAAGTTAAAAGAAAGAAATATGTGCGTGGGGAATTAAATAGAGCTAATGATGCAGGAAATACGGTAAAGTCCTAGAAATACCAAAACTAAATATAAGTTCAACATTAAAGTGACATTTATTAAAACAAAAATTATGGGGAGAGTATAATATAAATATTAAATAATTTAATTTCTCAACTCACTTATAATTTGAATAAAAGAAAATAATTCTACAAAAATTCTCGATATTATTTTTAAGTAACACAATTTATTCAAATGACCTTATATAGAGATTTTTTCGTGTTATATTTAAGTGATACAACGAGGTCTTAATTATTATTTTTTGGAACAAGAAGTTGAGATTTATGGCAATAAGGTTTATTCTGTCCTAAATTAGCATATACCCACCCCACCTCACCCCCACCCACCCCTTTATTTATTTTTAATATTATTTTTTTGCTTCTTAAGTACTATTTTTAATCAAGGTTTAACATGGCCAGCTGTCTACAGATTTCTTGTTTTTTCGTACTATATAGTATATTCGTATACGTTTTATCACCATGTTTGTTTATTGAGTTATATTTATTACTTGAAGAGAATGGACACTTCTATTAAATTGGAAGTCAAACAAATTAAAATTCTTTGTAATTGATTTCTTTTATATTTGCTATTTTACTCTTTAAAACATTTTTTTCCCGATAGGTGATGAAACGATCAAAACATAAGTTACCGTCTATGAGCTTAAAAGATTACAACAACATACTCATACTCAACGTAATTCCACAGTCTAAAGAGAGGGTATGATATACACCGGTCTTGTTCATATCTTTTAGGGTAGAAATGTTATTTCTGAAAGAATCTCAGCTCAAAAGAAAAGTATCCAACATAGGATGGTAAGAAAAAAGACAACAAAATAACAAGATACAAAATAATTGCAACAATAAATATCGATACACATCAAAGGAAAAACTATGCGATAAAATATTACTACTGTAAAAGGACAAGGGGAGAGGAGGAGGTTAATCCACTCCCTCTCCTCCCTCACAAAACGGATAACACTCAATTATCTATTAACTTTATCATTTGAATATAAAAAAAAGTTTCTTATTTGTTATTGTCATATATCTTTGTCTAAAACGAGAAATCTCTAACAAAAAAACACACACATTATTTTATTAAACTAAAAATAAATGTAAATAGATACAAAACTAATTAGCATGTTGAATGTTAATGAGATTCTAAAACTCGAGAATGTGTAAGTTTCTGAAAAGAAAAAGTTAATTATAAATTATAATGGATAGATATTAAAATATATGTTGATCACGTTGTGGATTTTGACTCACCCTTAATTTTTTTGCAATTTGCAATAACAAATTCATCAACTAATTAAGAAAATCAGTTTTATTATACTTAGTCATTTTTTTGGCTAAATTTAATACTATTAAATTGCAATACATATTAAACAATGTTAAGTCGCCGCATATAACCGTAGAAGCACGATGAAACCTTCCCTATGTCCATTATTTTTTCAAGTTTGAAGAAATGTTACTAGTAGTTTCCCTTCATCTTTTAATTAACTTTAATATCTTGTCATGCTTATCCTTTGAATTTTTAAAAATACTCTCAGTATATATATAAAAGAGAAGATCAATTTAAAAATAGATTTCCTGGATGTAGGTACGTAAAATGGTAGATTTGGTTTCATACATAGAAATCGAGTTAAAATTTAAAGTTTATGAATTTGAAATTTAAGTCTTCTGAATTAGTAATAATTTGTACATATTCCATGAAGGAGATGCATGAATGCCTTATTGTGGAGGTGTAGAGGTTGGTAATGGATGAGTACAAGAGATGTATGTAGAGGCAGTTAGGCTGAAGAGACCGTATTGAGGAGAGGTGATTAAACATGTTATGTCACAACTTTAGCTTCTTACCGATGACATGAGCTTAAATACGAGGTTACGGAGATCAGGGCACGAATTAGGGTAGAGATTTAATTAGGTAATTGAGACTTGAGAGTTGTCTTGCTTATGCTTTGTCATGTTTTCTTCAACATTTTATCTTGGATTCTTCACTCTCGCCCCATTTTTTTCCCGAACTGCTTGGTAATGTTCTTACTTGACCGGAGGATTTATTGGAATGTGGAAACAACCTATCTAGATAGGAGTAAGATTTGTGTACACACTATTCTCCCCAAATTTACTTGTAGAATTACACTAGATATGTTGTTGTTGAAAATATTTAATAAATTATTAATAACAATTACAAATTTGAACCAAAGTTACTGAATCCAACGAACTCGTCGTAAGTCATAACCTCGTCATACGTAAACTTAAGTATGAAAGCAACATAACCTCTAATTCTTTTTTTGTTTGTTTTCTATTCGATGTTCAATACATGTGTTGAAGTCATTAATTTCACTCGTGCATTGCAAAGTCTATTTCTAAAAACGACACTCCCAACAGGTCTTTTTAAAGCTCTAATTCCAACAAAGGCCAATACATGCATGTAGGTATATAGCCTCTAATTCTAACAAAGGCCAATACATGTATATACCTTTACCCCTTTTCATACATAACCTCTAATTATGTGTTGGTATATTGGAAGCATATTCTGTTTTCTTGTTAGTTCTTTTTGGGAAACCCTAACCCCAGAAGGCAAAATTGGAAAGGACAAGGGTCACTAAAGGGAGTTATATGCATGTTTGGCCTTTTGTGGGAATAAATATATAGTTTTATTATATATTTATTGTTCTTAAATTCACGTTAGATTATATTAGGGATATGTATATTTGATTAAGTCAACCAAATCTAGTATGATATTTCATAATTAATACTAAAGTTTATCTTGTTTGCAGATATAAGTCAATATTCCAATGCAACGACCAGAGTTGATACAAATGTTAAAATTATAATTGACGTGCTAGCTGTATATATATATGGAACAATTTTGAATTTTATATGTATTCTAACCGTAAAATGTTAGAAATCAGTCAATTTAGACGATTTCTTTTTTCGAAAATTCTTCAAAAATATACTCGTTTGATGAACTTTTTATCAGAAAATCCTAAATTTCTGATGAACGATTGTAATCGACTTTTTAGTAGTGATAAAACGAGATCGATAGAAGAAATAGAACTTCATGATCTAAGTACAGATATGGTCTTTTAGATTTGGCTTGTTTTTTTATTATTCTTAAATTAAAATAGATTATCGATCTATATGTATGAACTAGTCAACTAATTAATATGGAATACTATGATACACATTTTATAATTAACCATATTACGTTTATCTGTTTTCCTACCAATAAATTCATTCCAATGCA